AGCTATTCCCAATTGTACCGTCCCGTTCCAGCACAGTTTCTGGAATTCCTCTCTTTCGGATGTTGATTCGATTCATTCATGTATCCCCGTCGCTGGAAGCCTGCCAGGAGTCGCTCCTTGTCTATGCCCTTTCGCACCGACGATCACTTCCCACTCTCGTCAGCGTCCGGAATGTTACACATATCTTATTCTTTCTATACACAAGCAGGCCTTAATAGGAATGCAAATGCAGTGACTCTAGTGGCACTAGATAACTATGACAAATAACTACAACTTTTGTTTTGTGTTGAATACTTATCCCAAATTCTTAAGTTTTAACTAAGACTGTGTAATCACAGTGCTTTTGAAAATCCACATATCTAGGTTGTCGAGATTTGGAATCACTCATGTTTCTGGATTATTAAAACCCATAATGATTTCGACTATTCAACTAATTACAAATTGAGGATTCCAAGACCTAGTCAAACATTGTTAGGGTAAATCCCCTCATGAAAGGAAGAGGTGAAATACATAAAAGAGATTGTCATATATAGAAGGAGCTCATACTCAGATTCAGGAGGAGACAACTAGAAAGTTCCAAGATAGTAAACAACAAGCCTAAAGACAGAAGCATAATTAAGTTCTACGATTAAGTTTAATCTTTACTGTTCTTCATATCCATTATGTGGAATGAATTACTTTTTTTAAGGATTTTGATGGAACTTGAATTTGTGATTTGTTTTTATACATTTGAAATGGATTTCTTTATTTATGCTAGAGTTTATTACATGACTTAGGTAATAAACTGTATAGAGTTGAATTGGATGTGAAGCATTTGTCCTGTGGAAAAATTGTCGAATTGAATTCGTTAATCATATATAAATAAGTTAAATGATTCGTATTTTTGTTACTGGGAGATAAATAATAAATGTATTTATATCAAAATAAAAATAAAAATAAATATATGTTTGGTACGACTTGGAAGTGGATATCAAATAAGTTAAAATTATTCACTCCTTACATGAGATGATTAAAATTAAGGGAAAAGTACAAAAAATATATATATATATATATATGGTATTGTTTTGAATTACTTACACCCTCTACTTTTTCTAATCATTTAACTCCATGTGATTTTTTTTATTTTTTTTATTTAGATATGTTTGATCTTTTTTATTTTTTAGTCTATTTTTTTCGAATTTCTTCTTCCTTTTTTATTTAACCTTATGTCACCCATTTACTAAAGATTTTCGTAAAAAATAAATAAATAAAAGAGAGAGAATAAAATAGAGATATAAAAAAGACAAAATATATTTAAATAAAAATAATAAAATAGATAAATGATAAAAAATAAAAAACCAAATATATTGAAAATTCATAACTGTGATTTTTTTTATTCTATTTTTTATTTTATCATAATTTTATCTTCTATTTTTTTGTATTCAGTATTTTTTTCATTTAGACTTTTTTTATTTTTTTCTGTCACTGTTGTGATTTTTAACATATTTTGTCTTACTTTTTGTCCTTATTCTATTTTTTTATTTAGACACATTTGATCTTTTTTTTAGTTTTTTATTAAGTATTCTGAGTTTTTATAACGTTTAATTTGATCTTATTATTATTTTTTATCATTTTATTTTCTTTTTCTAAAAAAGATAAAATAGATATATTTAGTTAAGTTTATAACCGTGTTAAGAAGATGAATGGATGAAAAAAATCACAGGGGGTTAAATTTTAAAAAAAAAAATTGGAATATAAGTGATTCAAACACATGAAGGTTTTTAAACTTTTCCCTAAAATTAATTATCAATCAGTTAAATTAAATATAATCAATTCAAGTAAAATATAAAAGAGAAAAGTTAAAAAATTCCTGCTACTTTGGCCTCTCTTTTTTTCTTTCTTTTTTTGCAGTTGTTATCGCGATGAGCATCATCCTTCGTATATACCCTTCACATACCTGCTTGTTATGTTTAGCAAAGGTTAGGAACAAAGGTTACTGCGTCCTGTCTTAAAAGTTGAAACGATGGAGAAAAATTGGCGGAAGGAAATAAGCGGGTTAGGAACAAGACAGTCACACAATGTGGGGTTTACGGTATGGTCTACTTTTTCAGTTTTCTTTGTAGCGCATATAGTCCAAATTGAAGCCAGCACCATCTTAACTATTTAAAAATAAAATAAAAAAAAAAACACAAAAGGTAAACCAAAAATGGGCCTGTGCAATTTCCATGCTTCTAGCCTAAAGGGCTCTTGCGTGAGGGGGCGTGTTGAGATATATAGTCCCACATTGAGTGTGTGGGCAACTAATATGGCCTTTATAAGGCCTTGGACACTCTCACCCTTTGAGCTAGCTTTTGCGGTGGTGTATCCCAAGTTCTTTACATGGTATCAAAGTCTCACCGTCGCTCGCTTTAAAGTGGAATTAAAAATAAAATAAAAAAGCACAAAAGCTAAACCAAAAATGGGCCTGTGCAATTTTCACGCTTCTAGCCTAAAGAGCTCTTGCGTGAGGGGGCGTGTTGAGATATATAGTCCCACATTGATTGGATGAGAAACTAATATGACCTTTATAAGGCCTTGGACACTCCCACCCTTTGAGCTAGCTTTTGGGGGTGGTATATGCTAAGGTTGTTTACAATATTCAACTGTTGAGCTGAGGCATTGTACCTAAAAAAATAACTCATTCAATATCCCTACATCATATTAGAATTCGAGGAAATCACCCGTTAGTTTTCATGGTTGGTAGACTATTTGTTTTTCACATAAAAAATATTGTTATTACGTTATAGTTATTAGCCTTTGCGTTAGATGGAATGTTGCCTACATAGAGAGTACTTGAGCCCAATGGCGGAGCCAGAAAATTAGATGATGGGGGCGAAAATTGGTTGAGGGTAAAATGATATTTAAGTTTCAAAACTTTTAATATCATTTTAAAGAGGTAGGTTACATTATGAAATTATCTGCCGAATCAAATAATGATAATTCTGTAACTATAGTTGTTGAAAAAAAAACCGTTTTTGGTTAATAATAATCAACAGCTTATTCACCAAAATAATAATAATCAACAGCTTTGTCATATATAAACCGAAAAAATATACTTAAAACAAATTTGATTTAAAAAAAAAAGTTATTTTTCAAAATTATTAAACCAAAACAAATATACAGATATCCTCAAATAAAAGTAAGTAGAATTGACTTAACCAAAAAAAAAAAAACAAAAAAACAAAAAAAGAAGTAAGTAGAATTGATATTTCGATTTTTATGCAACTGATGATAGTTTGCATGCTAGGTTGTTTAATGAAACTTTAAGAAACAATTCTGAAAGTGAGGAAATGGAGACACAATTCACGGCCTAACCTACTACTTAAACGGTTCAAGTATATCATCATTAAACCCTGGTTTATTAAACGGCCTAACACAAGCAACAACTGTATTTTTGTTCTGGTTTTTTTTTTTTTTTTTTTCAGATTTTAGGGGGCCCACCTCTAGTGCCCCTAGCTCCGCCTCTCCTTGAGCCAATTCTAAACATACCAAAAAAATGCATGACAAATACTTTAGAAAAAGAATTTCAGAAAATTTAAAGAGAAAGCTTAAGTTAGAGTATTCCTCGAGTGAGGGAGTTAAAAAAAATAATTGTAATTTTTTTTAGATAAATAAATTTTATAATATTTCAAATATTTTTAGTGAATTTCTTAAACTTTTCGTGTGATTTTTTCAATTGGATTTTTCATGTACAATCTTGTATGCCTCTATTATTGGTGTTTAAAGTTAATTTATATAGTTGGTTTTTAAATTTAAATTCACTAGTTATTTCATTAGTTACGGTTATAATTGCATGAAGAAACTTTCATTTGACTTATAATTACATGGTCAATCGATATGGTTAACAACATCTTAAATTCTTAACATTACCAATTAGAGAACTAATAAACATCTTAATTAGCCTCATATAATCGATGTGATTTCAAAACTTGAGAACCAATTACGGTTATATATATGTGTAAAAGACTTTAAAGGATCTAAATGATATGCGTGTATGTAAATGCGTTCGTATATATGCATTGTGTGTATATATGTGTGTGTAAATGCATTCGTATATATGTATTGTGTGTGTATATGTGTATGTAAAAGATTTTAAAGGATCTAAATAATACATTTTTATAACCACAATGCACATATGCTTTTAAATAACAAGGGGTTAAATGCTACATTTTGTGATTACAATAAATTTAAGTGACAAATTTAAAAGCACAGGGGTGAAATGATAAATCGTGTATACGTAAGTGAGAAAATGAAATTATCCCAAAAAATAATAAAAATGGGTAAGAGTACCTTAATGGCACCGGGGCGATCATCACAAAATAAATAATAGTAAATATTGAAATTGGACGAACGAGATTTACTTATTATAGATTGCTATTTCATCAATTTTTCACAAACTGAAAAGCCGTGTTATATTTCCACAATATTATTGATTAATCCATAGTTAATTGTATACCATAACATTATACAATTCGTCCTTCTTTTGACTGTTTCAACCGATTGAGTTGATACATAAAATTTCTTGTTCATATAATAACACTTGGGGCATAAGATACTTTTGTGTGTTTGTGTGCATTGGAAATAACAAGCAAAATAAGAAAGTTGCCATAGTAAACCTCCATTTTTATCCTTAAAATTTTATCAAATCAATTTGGTCATAAAAATAGTTCAAATTAGGTTACTAACTTACTATTTAATAACATAGATGACCAAAATTATTAAAGATCCAACAAAAATCTTTCATGACCAAAATTTACATATGGCAATTTATATATCTTCTTAATTTCTGACCGGCCTTGTAAACTTTGGCCACATGTGGTTCGTCTTTATTTCCAATGAACCAAACGAGAGCCTGCTTCATACAGCTATTACCTTCAATTTTTTCACCTTTTCCTTGAATATTTCTATCATAAAAAGGGCTCATTAAGCATCATTTCATTTATCCTCATAACTCAATGGGTGAATACATAAAAAACACTACCATGCAGGCAAAGCCAAAACTACTAGAACTTGAAGAACTATACCAAGGTATCCCAGATGAGTCCGTTAATCTTACCTTTCAAGACCTAGCCAATGTGAATACTTCAAACAAGATAAACACCACAGTGGCCATTATTGAACCCATTTCTGATGCTAGTATAATTAGCAACCCCACAAAGTTACCATCATCCTCTGTTCCTTCTCTGACCAAATTACCTAGTCTTGACTTCCAAAAAGGCTTGCAGGCATCCAATAATCACAGCCATCACCACCACCTTGATTTTGGCCATGGTGGTGACTCACCGTTGGGTCAGTTTAGCCACCGTGTTGAACATGATCGAGGACATGATCGTTTTAACCATGTAAGTGAGTATAGCATGGGTTATGATGCTATGAACAGTGGCATGAGTTTGGCTTCGGGAAAAGGTGGTGCTGCTGGTCGACGAAAGCGACCTGGAATTCCTCACTCTAAGATTTGCACCATTTGCAGCAACTATGTTTACTTTCTCAGGACTAGATGCCTGGTATGTCTTTGAACATTACTATGATTAAGTTGATTCTATGTAGCAAGTAGTAACCACAAAATATTAAAAATATTTTTTATTTTTATTTTTAATTCATATTTGGAAGGGCAATGTTATTAGCATATTACAAAACTGCTGTAATTCTTACAATATTTCAATTTTCTATGTAATGTATGCAATGAATTAAGTAAAATTTAACTTAGCTATATAGTTCAAAATTCTTTATTTGACTTAATAATGTTTCTGGGGCATGCAGGTATGTGGCAGGGTTTATTGCAGGCGGTGTGTGGAAATAGGCATGGGAGAGATGATAGAAGGAAGAAAGTGTATTGAGTGCCTTGGATTGAGATTTAGCCAAAGGTAACCCACATTTCTTGGTCCATTCTTCTGCTTCCAAAAAGATAGTCTCTAATAATGTTTGGCTTGTTTTGCATGTCCTTTTAAGCATAATAATATAAACTAATATAATATACATCTCAAGTTTATTTATTAGTTATTTGGCGTGAATATTTTGTTTACCCATCCTATACATCCAAATGAAAGATTATTGGCTTAATTATAAACCAATAACGGATTTGATTATTAGACATGTTTTCTACATCATGAGACGGCATTTTGGATTTTGTTTGCCGTCTCTTTGTCCTCTTAAAGAAAACAACAATTCTATACTAGACATTGAAGAAATCATACGTCCATACCAAACTTGGTCTTAATCAAACATATCCAGGACAAGAATAATAATTTAATATAATAATTAGGCTTTGAGTTTCTCATTCAACGGGAGAAGGAGAATCTTCTTGCAGAGATATAATTTAGGTAGGCTCCATCAATAAAAAAAAAAAATAAAATAAAATAAAATAAAAAAAATAAAAATTAATGCAAAATTCGATGTGTGTAATAGGAGAATAGAGTTCTCCTACAACAAGAGAAGCTATTCTCCCGTAATAATTACCGTCTTTTCTCTTACTGTGCATGCCCTTAAATATGATTATATTTGAGTATATCTAGGACGTTCACTTATTTTTATATTCAAACTTAGAAGTTAATTAGTTGTTTAATTAAAAAAGGAAAAATAATCCGTAAGTGGATTTATTTTAGGTTTTAATACTTCTTATGTTGAAGCAGATGAAAAATTTTGCAGCAATACATAAAGAGTCAAGATACACACACAAATCTTGATTTTTTTTTTTTTTTAAATGTTAGGATCCGCATGCAGCTCTTAGTATAAATATATTTGCTACAAATTTTTTAATCTGATGTGAGTAACCCTTTATTTTATGCAACATATTCATCAAAATTGGGATGATGCTAATTTTTATTCTAGGCTCATCCGCTACAGAGGACCTAGTCACCTAGCTTCAAATTAATCTTTAAACATAAATGGTTTGTGGAATTTGATTGTTGACACAGGTACATAGAAAGAGCAGGGGTAATAGGATGTTGCAGTTGGAGGTATCCAAGTACATTGAAGGATACTGAGCTCAAATGGGCTGAGAAAGGACCAAGGAAGAACAGTGACAGAGGCTATGGTCACCATGGCATAGCTTCCTCAAGACCAAGAACCCCTACATCCCCAAGGAGTCCTCTTGCCATAGTTGGCAACGAACCCTCCTTTGTCATGTCTGCATCCTATACTTTCTCTCCTCATCACCTCCCTCTTTGAAAACAACAATTATTAATATAATTTGAAATAATACCATATATATTAGCATATCTAAAAACTAGTGTGCTTTATAAGATATTCTTCAAGAGTTTGTTTTCTTTGACTTTAATTTATGTTTGTTCTATTTGACTTTATGTTGCTTCATTCAATTTGTTGATTCAACTTAAATTAAAAGCTCTATCATTTCCTTCTTCATTTGAGTCACTTTCTTCTTTATGTTTTGTCTTGTGCATCTAACTAATGGTACCAAATACCAAAGACTCGCATCAAAATAATCGCCAATTGTCTTGTTTAAGTGCATCTCTGATAACTTCTAGTTTTCTAAACGACAAATACAACTTGTCCAAATTGTATAGATCAAGTTGATAGAATGAGTAAATGTTAACTATTGGAAACATGCTATGCCGGCTAAAGCCTTCAGCCAAAATATGTTGTCTAACAAACGAATGATGTGTCACTTTAAGAACTGAATCTCTTTATGTTTCTCTCCTTTGTCATGTCTGCATCCTATACTTTCTCTCCTCATCACCTCCCTCTTTGAAAACAACAATTATTAATATAATTTGAAATAATACCATATATATTAGCATATCTAAAAACTAGTGTGCTTTATAAGATATTCTTCAAGAGTTTGTTTTCTTTGACTTTAATTTATGTTTGTTCTATTTGACTTTATGTTGCTTCATTCAATTTGTTGATTCAACTTAAATTAAAAGCTCTATCATTTCCTTCTTCATTTGAGTCACTTTCTTCTTTATGTTTTGTCTTGTGCATCTAACTAATGGTACCAAATACCAAAGACTCGCATCAAAATAATCGCCAATTGTCTTGTTTAAGTGCATCTCTGATAACTTCTAGTTTTCTAAACGACAAATACAACTTGTCCAAATTGTATAGATCAAGTTGATAGAATGAGTAAATGTTAACTATTGGAAACATGCTATGCCGGCTAAAGCCTTCAGCCAAAATATGTTGTCTAACAAACGAATGATGTGTCACTTTAAGAACTGAATCTCTTTATGTTTCTCATAACAAAAGTTGACTTTTTCAAATGAGTGGTTATAACATAAAAATTCATGCGACATTCACAGATTATGAGCTATATAAAAAACTAAAAGAAAGTCATTATATGAAAACAAAATATTAGAAAGAGCTTATATATTAACATTATTACAAGAGAGATAACAATAATAATAATAATAACGACCAATGCACATAGAGCAGGACAAGAAGTTTAGGACATATTACATCTGGGTTTGATCTTAATATGGAGACCCTTGGATGGATATGGCATTGGTTGACGAGTAATTGCTTCCTCTGCGTTTACTTGAGACCATTCATACATCTTTACAAAGTTATGAATAATAGTCAAGGTTTCAACCCTGGCAAATTCGTTTCCTATGCAGTAATGTAGCCCTGCACCAAATGAAAGGTAAGTAAAGGGTGGTATTGGCTTGGTTGGATTTTCAAAACGAGATGGATCAAATTTGTTTGGATTCTCGAATATATCATTGTTCATGTGGGTTCCATATGCTGCCCAATATACCTGAACATGAAACCAGTTTAACATTAAAGTTTGGCCAAAAAAAGATGTCACTTATTTGTGAAATTTTGGGGATAGAAATGTCACCTGCCACCCTTTTGGTATGTCATATCCTTCGTAGCTTGTATCTTTAAGTGCTTTTCTAAAGCTTCCAAATAAAGGAGGGATCATCCTCATCATTTCCTGAGCAACTCTCCATGTGTATTTCATCTTTTGTATCTCTGCCCATGTTAATCTGTCTTCTCTTCTTTCCCTTTGCTTTATAATTTCCATTTGTTCTGCATAAATGAATTTGGCAAAACAGTCAAAGAAGGACTAAATCTCTTTTTACGTTGGTCATGGATATGGCACAAAATAGCATAATGCTACAATCTAACCAATAAGTGTTACCTTGTAAAACTTTATTGTGAACCTCTGGATCTCTAGATAACTTCCATATCATCAAGCTCATAAGAGTAGCAGAAGTGTCATGACTTGCAACAAATAAAAAAATAAAATTGTCAGTAATTACATCATCAGCTAGAGGTTGATGATTTTCATCCCTTAATGCAAGCAAACAGGAAAGCATATCATTAGTAGAGCTCAGAACTCCTTTTGACTGTTCCTCCCTTCTTTTTTTCATAATAGGAAGTATCCTGTTAACAATTCTTGCCCTGGCTTTTTGGCCTCTCCAAAATGAGGTACCAGGAAAATTGATGGGAAGAGAATGAATTGCTTTAAATGCTATGGTAAAATCTTCAAACAAAGCCTCCCTAGTGTCCTCATCCTTAATGTCAAACAATATATTGCATGCCATATCATATGCCAGCTTCTTCATGAAAACCACAATTCCAATTGTCTCATTCTCTTTGGATTTTCTCAGTAATTCCATAATCACCAATTCATCCATCTTTTTTACATAGTTCTGAAGACATTCAGGTTTCAAGAATTTCATCATTTCCCCTTTGACTAGCCTGTACCTGCAGGACAAATAAACACAGCCTCAAACCAGATGATCTAGTAATCCTCTTTATCAACATCACTTATTTAATCATGACTTATCCATCCAAACATACAACACCTTATTTCAAAGTGCCATTATTTAAATAAACATTATCATATAATAAGTACTAGTTTGACAATTCATTCAACATTTAAACAAACAATCTGAGCTGCAACAGTGAGTAATAGTTGAAGATTATGTACCTCGATCCTGTAAGTTCAACTAAGCTTTGTTTTCCAAGAATCTTTCGCAGGGTGAGGGGTTTCGTAGCAGAAAGCACATCATCTGGGGAACCAAGTATAAACTTGTTACCTGCTTGTCCAATGAAAAACACTGTAGGGGAACCCATTAAGGAGGTTTTGAAGACATGGCCATACTTAGATATCCGATCTTCCAACCACTCAGAGCCCTTGTCCTGCCTCTGTGCCTTAAGAAAACTAAGTGTCTCTCCGATGATAGGATACCCCAGAGACCCTTTTGGAACATTTTTGGTTTGACTTTTTGAGAGAAACTTTGAGAGTAGTGAAGCTAAAATCAAAGTGAATGCACATAAGACAAACAATGGTATTCCCACATCCATTGGCTTTGTTCTTTGCTAATGTGGAGGTTTGACAAATGAGATGAGATACTTCAATTCTGTTGCTAAATCAGGTGACAGAAAGACTCAATCATAATAGCAATCATTCATGGCCTTCTTAAGACTTTCCGTGATAAAGTGACATCGGAAAGAGATGACAATGAAACAGTTTTATTATTAATTTTTTGGGTACAAGTAATCAATTGAATAATCTAAATTGATTGAGAAATGGCTATTAAAAAACATATTTCCTTTTCCAAGAAAAAAAAAACATTTTTCATGCTACATGCCCACAAACACCCAACGGCAACTTGAAAATTCCTAGAATTAGTTTAATATAATTTTTTTATTGATTTTAACTTAAACTTAATTTCTTTAAAATTTATTTTAAATCTGTTTTTTATTTAATTGAATTTAAAATATTGAACATACTTATAATTATATTGTATACGATAATCATATTTAAATCTAATTGAAGGACAGACAAAGTGAGAATGAAAAAAAATGAAAAAATAAGAGAAAAGTTTTTTGAAAAGACCTATTAATTGAAAAAAAATTTAGACAAAATACTCGTTTGATGGAAAATTCTAACATTTTACCGGACATAGCCCAGTTGCGCATATGTTAGTGCGCAGCTAGTTGTGCACATGATGTCCATGCATGTTTATTACATTGCAAGCTCTCATGATTTATACATAAATCAATTATTTGAGTATGCGCACAACTAATTGAATTTTGTCATGTGAAACCTTATATGTCTGTTAGGATGCTACCACGTGGCGTAACATTGGTCGTCCATCCCTAGTAGCCTTTCTCCCTTCCCCTATATAACCTCCTTTCACCCATCATACTCTAAATAAACAATCTAATTTCTCCCTCTCCCTCTTCCTATCTTTCAATTCTTTAAAAGGTTATAATCTTTTTCCTGTGTTCCTTTCAAAATGCATTCAAATTTGTAATCAATTAGTGGACTTTTTTATTGTTTTGCTAGAAAATTGGAAAGTTGCAGTGGGATGATGTACAATGGTGAGAAAAGTCCAATACTTACTAAACGCGACACAATGATTGATGAACTGCATGAAAAATTCACCAGAATTGGGGCTCCAAGCTAAACAATTTGTCTCTCAGTTGATGACAAGTGCCTGCTCTCAACTGGTGGAATACATTGGTTGTGGGTTTCAAACAATCAATCGATGCATTTATCAATTAATTGTAGAGAAATTTCAATGAGTTATACATGGATGTTGCTTGTCATTATCAATTCAATTAGTGGCTCTTAATAGTGAAATATATATTGCATAATTGTCAGCACCTTTACTAGTTCACTCACAAACCACAACTAATGAGATCACCCTACTTGGATGATAGACAAAGATGATTTGAAAATCAAGAAATCAAATATGACCTTGTGGCTTAGGATGCTAGTGCTTCAGATAGTGATGGAGAGCATGATTTGGGTTGTAATCTATTTCCAGAAGAGATGGATCCCCCATGATTTGGGTCTCCATGGCACAAATCCATCTTTGTCAAACTAATGGGGAAAAAGGTATTGCTGGATTTTATAAAAAAAGATTAGAAAATATGTGGGCTAGATAGAGAGGGTCGAATTCAAGTAATTGACTTGGAAAACAATTTCTTTCTGGTTCGCTTTGAGAAAAAAAAGACATGGATTTCGCAATTATGGCGGGACCATGGATTGTTTTTTATCATTACTTAGCGATCAGATCTTGGGTACCTGATTTCCAACCTTTCCAGGCAACAGTCAATAGAATTATGGCTTGGGTTAGGCTCCCTGAATTTTTTATGGAATATGTGAACACTGATTTGGTTAAGGATATAGGGAATTGGCTGGGTAAATTTATTAAACTGGATGCGGCTACTACTTCTATTGCTAGAGGTAGATTTGCAAGAATGTGTGTTGAATTAGATCTTAGCAAGCCTCTGCAAGTGGATTTTAAAGTGGATGGAAGAATCAAGAAGATTGAGTATGAGGGGCTGCACCTAATCTATTATAAGTGCGGAAAGTATGGACATAGAAGGGAGAATTGCCCAAGCAAAAAAGTAGCTGAGCAGGTTCCAAACACAAATGTCGGTAGGCTGGAGGATCATAGTAATCAAGAGGATTCACCTTCAAATTCGGGGGAGGAAAATCCTAAATTTGGTCCTTGGATGCAGGTGATAAGAGGAAGGAAAGTTAGAGGTAATCAGATAAGGAAAAATGAAGGTACTAAGGGGAAAGAAAGTCAGAATAGCTAAAAAGGGGCTAATAATTTTGAGGTGTTAAGGAATAAGGAAGTCCGGGAAGTTGAAGGTAAAACAGAAGGTACTATGGTTGTTTATCAAGAACCTAATCAGAGCTCTCTTCAATCCAAAAGCATAAAATCAAAATCCAATGTTGTTTCCTTGGTTGAAACCAAGTCAAAGTTCTTATTGGTGGGGGATAGCAAGGAGGGAGATAATGGGAATTTGTCTAAAAAGGTTTCTGATAGAGGAAAGGTTGGGATCGGAAGTAAAAATCTGTCTTTACAAGCAGTACCAAGTCAAAGGAGTGAGTCTAAGGAGGGAGAAATCTCAAGGAAAAGGAATTTTGAAGAAAAGTTGCAACCTTCAATTGGCAGCTCAAAATTTAATATCTTGAACCAAGGTTTGAACAATGAAAGTCTGGATCAAAAATTGTGTAGAGGGAACTAGAACCGAAGCCTCCAGATGTGATGATGGTGGATAAGCATCAAGATGGTCAAGAAAGTGATAGTCTTCAAAATATTGCTGGAGCAGAAGCTTTCATGCAAGAAAGTAAAAAGGAGCAGGTATCCCTTAAATCTGCATTTAATCAAATTAGTTATTAATGAACTTTCTGATTTGGAATTCTAGAGGGACTGCTAAAAGAGAATTTGGTGGAGCCTTTAAGACAATGGTTAGGAAGAATAATATAATAGCCCATATTAATTAATTAGGAAATCAAGTGTAATTAATTAATTAAACATGTTTTACTGGGTGAAATTAAGTATAAGGCTTAATTAAAGGAATCTGAGTCACTTTGGAGTTAAAAGTGTACTCAGTGAAAATTAAGGGGTATAAATGGGTACTGGCAAAAGTACCCAAAATATAAAAATAAAAATAGTAATATTCCTAGAATAATATTCCAGACTTTTGGGTAAAGTTTGGTAATCATTGGAGTTGAATAGATAGACGAACCAATACCCGCTTAAAGCCACTTAACCTATGTTAAGTGACTAAAAGCCAAAAGAATCCCCATTTTCCCCCCCCCCCATTTCGTCGAGAAACAGAAAAGAAGGAGAAGAGAAGAGAGGGAGAAGAGAGGGAAGAAGAAAAGGGAAAGAGAGAGAGAGAGATCAAACCTTGATGGTTTTGGATGATTCAAAAGCCTAAATCGCTTAGAATCTCGCCCTCTTTCATAATCCAAGCTTAGTTTTAAGTGGGGAGCTTTGTGTGGTGGGATATTGGCTCTCAAAAATTCGGCCCTTTGGAGAAATTTGGGGTTTTGAGAGTTTCTACCTCCATTGAAGCTTGAGGAGCCATCAATCCTTGGTTGTGTGACCATTGGTGGTAAGATTCTAACCCTTGAACCTCATGATTCCTTGAAATTTGCATGAGTTAGGGTTTGTGAATAGTAAATTGGGATTTTTATGAAATATAGTTGAATTAGCTATGTTCTAGGAAGAATGGGACTTAGAGCATGTTATGGAAAATGCTAGGAATGTCATTTAATCGGTGGAAATGAGCCTAGATAGTCATTTGATAATTGTTCATAATATTGGAAAATTCATGCTTGGATTGGTTAGTATTCTAGCATGTTGAACAATTAATGAGATGAATGATTGATTGTGTCCTTGTGATGTCTAGGATTGAGACATTTGGACCAACCGTGAGTGATCAACCATTGGAGCAAGCTATGGAGCTTGATTAGCTCCATTGGATAGGTGAGTTCATGCTTATGTTTGGTATGAATTGCATAGCTTGGTTGATAGCTATGAGATGTTATTGGATGCAATATGTGTTGATTGCATTACACCATGTGTAGGTGTATGTTTGTAAAAGTTGATGGCTGAAACTGTTGGTGAAGAACAAAGGTTGACTGAAGCATTGAGGTAAGCCTTCGGACCTTGGGTGTAATTCCCTTGACTGTTCTACCAAGCCCTGAAAGGGTGGAGGTTGTGATTGTGTATATAAATGCAATAAAATAGTGTAATGCTTTGTTATACGTATGTGTATGCATTTGGTGTGGCATAGGATGGTGTTTCCCTATGTGGGTATGTTGCATGACGATGCGTAAATCATACATGGTAGTTAGCTGGCCAGTAGGACTATTTGCATCTGAGTTTCCTTAGGACAGCTTGAGAGCTCGAGGGATTTCTCCTGGAGATGTATTGCACTTTGCATAGATATGTATTTACTGCATTATTATTGTTATTGCTATTACACTGATATGGAACTGTGGGGTGGAGAGATGCTCCAAGGACCCCTGGTTTACTGGATATATTCGTATATCTCACCCCGTGTTGTGGGGACCCCCTTTCAGGTAAGGATGCTGCAGGAGCCTCTGGTGGCAAGTGGCCATACCTAGATTATGCATGAAATATGGCACTTCTTTGAGTTTATGCATGCCTTTTGTAGTTGACATGTATAGGATTTTATTTTGAAAGCCCATGATCATTTGTATATCTTGATTCATTGGATGAACTTAGCCTATGCTCATGCCTTTGGTTACACCTTTTGTTGATGGGAGCCAAGGGAATGATCATAGTGTTTTGTAAGCTAAGTTCTATGATTTGTAAAGGATATGTAATGTAAATGATGCCTACTTGGAATTCAATATATGCATGCTTGTTATGTATTGAGTTGTTGAATTGGTTGGGCTGAAAATCAATTAGGTACCCTTTTGTTTAAACTGGTAAACGATGAGAAAACAAAGGTCATGCTGCCCAAATTCTAGCTAAATCTCATGAGGGGAGGTGGGATGAGGCTAGGATTTGGTTTTGGGG